TCTTTCCCTGTGAATCAGCCTCTCAGAGCATCATCCCATTTTACTGCTGTGCTCCCCTCTGGCTCTGGGTACCCATGTCTCACTGAGGAGTTGCTGATTTCCCCAAGTGGTTGGACCATTGAACACTCCCACCAGCAGTGTACGTGGGCTCTATTTTCTCCACATCTTTGCCAACACTTGTTGATGTCTTTTTTAGCCATTCTAGAGAATGTCAAGTGGTAACTAGTGATGTTCATTTGTCTTTTGCATGTTTATTGGCTGTTCGCCTGTCATCTTTGGAGAAATGTCCACTCAACTACTTTGCCCATTCTAAATTGAGTTGTTTTATTCTGTTATACAGGTTCTTTATACATTCCAGATGCAAGTTTCCCATCAACTGTAGGATTTGCAAATATTTTCTTCTATTTTGTTTTCACTTTTTTTTTTTTAATTTTTTTTTGGAGAGGTTTTTGCTACAGGGCGTGTGTGCTTGCCAGACGGACAGAGAGAGACAGAGAGACAGAGAGCAAGAAATCACCCCCCCAGGGGGGATGGCCATGCCGCAGTACCTTTTCCTCCATTCTCCTCTCGGGATCCTGGGCACGCACGCACACGCACCCAGTGTAAGTTTCAAGCCACCAGATCCGGGATGCAAAGTGCAGTCGACTATGTGGGAGTCCAGTGACATAGCCATTACGCTAACTGCTGGTCCCTGTTTTCACTTTCTTATGATATCCTCTGAACCACTACATGTTTTGGTCTTTGATAATAGGTCCAATTAATCTACTTTTCCTTTTGTTTCTTGTAGTTTTAGTATCATAGTTATGAAACTATTGCCTAATTCAATATGAAAATTATTCTTATGTTTTCCCGTAAGATTGTTACGGTTTTAACCTTCACTTCTAGGTCTATGATTCATTGTTAGTTTTTGTCTGCGATGTGAGGCAGGACTTCACAACTTCATTCTTTGACACGTGGATATGTAATTGTCTCAGCGCTATTTATTGGGGGAAAAAACAACTATTCTTTGCCTATTCAATTGTTCTAGTGCCCTTGTTGAAAATCAACTAACACATATTTAAAAGTTTATTTCTGGGGACCAGCAGTTAGCATAATGGCTATGTTGCTGGACTCCCACGTAGTCGACCGCGGTTCGAGTCCCGGACCCGGTGGCTTAAAACTCACGCTGGGCGCGTGTGCGTGCGTGCCCAAGATTTCCTAGAGGAGAATGAAGGAGAAGGGATTGTGGCATGGCCATCCCCCTGGGGGGTGATTTCTCGCTTTCTATCTCTCTGTCTCTCTCTGTCTGTCTGGTGAGCGCATGTGCCCTATAGCAAAATCCTCTCCAAAAAAGAAAAAAGAAGTTTATTTCTGGATTCTGAATTCTATTCCTTTCTATGTATTCTTTTTTTTTTTTTTTTTTTTTTTTAATGGGAGAGAGATTTTCATTATAGGGCATGTGCACTCCGTGGAGACCTAGAGAGAAAGAGAGACAGAAAGAGAGAAGTCACCTCCTGGGGGGATGGCCATGCTGCCATCCCTTCTCTTCCATTGTCCTCTCATGATTTGGGGCATGCATGTACATGCACCCCCACATGAGTTTCAAGTTTTCAGGCCCAGAACTCGAACCACAGTCAATCATGTGGGAGCCCAGGGGCCATAACCACCATGCCACCTCCTGGCCCCCTTTCTATGTATTCTGACCTAAGTGTCTATCCTATGCTGGTGACACATTGCTCTGATTACTATAGCTTTGTATTAAGTTGGGAGATTAGGAAGTGTGAGTCCTCTAACTTTGATCTCTTTCAAGCCTGTTTTGGCTAGTTTGGGTCACTTTTATTTTCATATGAATTTTAGGATCAATTTGTTAGCGTTTGCTTAAAAAAAGCCGACAGTGAATTTGCTAGGGATTGCACTGAATCTGTTAGAGACCAGCTGTGGGGAGTATTGCCATCTTCATATTAAGTCTTCTGATCCATGAATGCGGGATGTCTTTCTAATTTATTTGGGTTTACTATGTTTTCTTTCATTCCTTTTGACAATGTTTTGAAGTTTTTAGTGTTCGTGTATTATACTTTTTGTTAAATGTATTCCTATCTTAGGTCTATTTAATGTTATTATAAATGGAATTGTTTCCTTAATTTTATTTTTGAATTGTTCATTGTTAGTGTATAGAAAGAGAATTAATTTTCGTATATTGATATTATGCCCTGAAACTTTGGCTTACTAGCTCCAATAATTTTATTTTGTGACATCAAAGTAATACTGCCTCATGGAACAAAATGGGAAGCATTCTTTTCTCTTCACCTTCTGGGAGCATTTATATAGACTTGGTAGTATTTTTTCCATATAATTCTAGTGGACTCTATCAGTGAAGACACCTGGGCCCAGAGGTTTTGCTTTTACTTTTTTTTTTTTCTTTAAGTTTTTGCCATAGAGCATGTATGCTTGCCAGAGAGAGAGACCGAGGGAGAGAGAGAGAGAGACGGAAAGTGAGAAATCACCTCCCAGGGGATATGGCCACACCACAATCACTTCTTCTCTATTCTCCTAGGATTTGGGGCGTGCATACACATGCGCCAGCATGATTTTCAAGCTGTCAGGTCTGGGACTTGAACTGTGGTCTGCCACATGGGAGTCTGATACCTTAACCACTATGCCACCCACCACCCTCACTTTGTCTGATATTAAAATACCTATTCCACTTTGTTTGGATGAGTGTTAGTGTAGTGTAGTGTAGTGTAGTAGTGTAGTGTAGTTAGTTCCATACTTTCTTTCTTTTTTTTGAGAGGTTTTTGCTATAGGGTGTGTGCTCGCCAGAAAGAGAGAGGCAGAGAGAAAGCGAGAAATCACCCCCCAGGGGGGATGGCCACACTGCAATCCCTTCTCCTCCATTCTCCTCTTGGAATCTTGGGCACGCACACACGCGCACCCAGTGTGAATTTAAGCCACCAGGTCTAGGATTCGCACCGCAGTCTACTACATAGGAGTCCAGCAACATAGCCGTTACGCCAACTGCTGGTCCCCCTTTTTCCATACTTTCACTTGTTTGTATAGTTGTATTTAAAATGGGGTCCTTGTAGCAGTACACAGTTGAGTCTTGCTTTTTCATCCAATGTGAGGTCCTCTGTCTTTAACTAGGGTGCTGTTGTCTATCTGCCTCGTCTATTCTGGGTTCCTTCTTTCCTCTCTCTCTAGGCAGGTGTAAGTTGGTTTTAGCCCCTGAGATAGAGGCAGGGGGAAGGAAGTTCAGCACAGAATGAGCCCTAGAGTAGGCATTGCTTGAGCCCGGGTAAGACCCATCTCTCCTCGTTCTGCAGAGACCACCCAGATCTCCTTTCTCAGCCTCCCAATACTCCGCCCAGGGGAGGCAGACGGTGTGTCATTCAGCCCTTGTCACAGGCAGGCATGTGGAGTCTGGGTCTTTGTGTGAATATGTGAACCTGAAGGTTCGTGTGTGTGTGTGTGTGTGTGTGTGTGTGTGTATGCGTGTGTAAGTATGTGTACACCTTAGTGTGTGGGCATATGTATTCCCTGGGATTCACTTACCGGCTGACCTTTGGATCCAGGCTCCCCCCGAATCCCAGGAAGTCCGGTTCCACCCTCTGTCCCTCTCTTGCCTGGAGGACCCAGCTGGCCAGGTAACCCACTTTCACCCTTAAAAAAAAGCATATTCAAGTTACAAAAGGGGGTAAGTGGCTCTAAGGAAGGGTGGGAGGCCCAGGAGAGGCAGACCAGTGATCCCTCAGGGGCCCCTGAGACCCAGCATGCTAGGGCAGAGGACAGAGGCTGGGAGCTTGTGGTGGGCAAATCCCACCTCCTGAAGAGGAAGCTCTCTTGCCCACTCACCCTGAGGGCTCTGGTACCGGGGGTCCCACCTTCCCCTGCACTCTCCCACACAGCTTCTCCCCAGCTCCAAACTCCACATCTCTACTGGCCCTGCCCCTTCTGCCTATAGTGTCCCCTCCCCATCTCAGTCACATCTGCCCCTTGACCTTTGCCCTCTGCCTGCTGTCCTCCTAGAGGGCTCCAACCTTTCAGCCTCAAGCACATGGAGATCAAGGACCACACCGGAGCCATTTGTTTACATCCAGCCCTGGGCTCGGATGGATTCAGGGCGACCTTCTCACCCAAGTCACCCAAGGAAGCTCTCTGAAGATGCCTTGGAGCCGGATCCCAGCTCCAGGCAACACCTTGCTGTTCCATAAGAGCCCACAAGAGGGTGTCAGTAGACAACTAAATGTCCAGTTTCTGGGACCTGGAAGGGCCCTGTACTTATAGCCACCTGGATAAACTATCCTAAAAGTCTGGTTTCAGCTTAGGGCAGGGACCTCCAAGAAAGGCCAATGATAGGAACTTCATTTTCACACAGGCGGTGGGACATGGGCGCTTGGAGAGTCAGCACCACTGCAGTCAGTAGAGAAGGGTGGGGGTGGGAGAATGGATTAAGAAGGGTCTGACCTTGAATCCTGGGGGCCCCTGTGCTCCAGGCAAGCCGGCCACACCTGGATTTCCTCTCTTCCCAGCAGGGCCCATGAGGCCAGGGTCCCCATCGTCTCCCTGCTCCCCCTGTAGAGAAGGTAGGCAAAGAGAATCTCTCTCTGAAACAGGCAGCCATGGAGGCAGAAGCGACGAAGCTAGGGCGAGCTCCAGGTGCAGCAGGAAGTGGGGAGGGAGTTCCCTGCCTGTGTGAGAAGAGGCTGGGCCAGGAACAGGTGGGGCTGAGGGTTGGCACATGGAGACAGGACAGGACTTTTTTTTTTTGGAGAGGTTTTTGCTATAGGGCATGTGCGCTCACCAGAAAGACAGAGAGAGACAGAGAGACAGAAAGCGAGAAATCACCCCTGGGGAGATGGCCACACCACAATCCTTTCTCCTCCATTCTCCTCTCGGGATCTTGGGCACGCACGCACACGTGGCCGGCGTGAGTTTTTAGCCACCAGGTCCGGGACTCAAACGGCGGTCAACTACGCGACGAGTCCAGGCACAGCTAGTATGTCAACTGTTGGTCCCGTGGACATTTTTTGTGTGTGGAAAGTATCTATATTTATTTCTAAAAATAGTCATCTCAAATAGAAAAGCATCTGAGGACAATAAGTCACCTATAAGTACACCACCTAGAGGTGAGCACTGCTCGATGGTTTTCTGTACTCACACACAGGCGTGTGCCTCACACGTGCTTGTGTTTAAGTGTATTACGTTTTTGGGTTTGTTTGCCTGTTTTATATTTTTGATCTTAAAAACTAGGCGCTCTCTCCACTGGGCAGGGTGTGAACTGGAAAGCTTCCTGGGAGCTGGCGTAGATGGCCACACCACAATCCTTTCTCCTCCATTCTCCTCTCGGGATCTTGGGCACGCACGCACACGTGGCCGGCGTGAGTTTTTAGCCACCAGGTCCGGGACTCAAACGGCGGTCAACTACGCGACGAGTCCAGGCACAGCTAGTATGTCAACTGTTGGTCCCGTGGACATTTTTTGTGTGTGGAAAGTATCTATATTTATTTCTAAAAATAGTCATCTCAAATAGAAAAGCATCTGAGGACAATAAGTCACCTATAAGTACACCACCTAGAGGTGAGCACTGCTCGATGGTTTTCTGTACTCACACACAGGCGTGTGCCTCACACGTGCTTGTGTTTAAGTGTATTACGTTTTTGGGTTTGTTTGCCTGTTTTATATTTTTGATCTTAAAAACTAGGCGCTCTCTCCACTGGGCAGGGTGTGAACTGGAAAGCTTCCTGGGAGCTGGCGTCAAAGACAGACGGTCAGAGGGCCACATTCCAGCCCCCAGCAGCCCAGGGAACTTCTTGGTTCCTCCCCTCTGGTGCCCATGGCCTGTGGGAGTACCCCCTGGCCTCGTGCCATCTGTTCACCCCAAGTCCTGCTCACCTGTGGTCCGGCTTGGCCGTCCCTACCCGGAAAGCCATCTGGTCCAGCAGCACCCTCGAGGCCCTGTCTCCCCACCACGCCCCGGGGGCCCGGCAGCCCCTGCAGGCCCTGGGGGTACATAAGAAACTGGTGAGGACTTCTGGGGGATGGACGTGGAGGCTGGCGAGAAAGCAGAGGTGCAGGCCACTCACCTGGATCCCCCTCCGGCCCGGTGCCCCAGCTTTGCCTTGCTTCCCCTTCGGTCCCTGCAAAATCAAGAACAACATGAGGGAGGCCCCTGGAGGGGGTGCAGAACCCTAGGAGCTCTGGACAGGGGGTGCTGAGAGGATCATGGGCATCTGACTCCACAAACAGGGCCCAAGCAGGGCCTGTAAGATGGCCAGGGTTGGCCCTGAGCCTTCCTCAGGTCCAGAGTCCCCTGCCGGCCCTCACACTGCCCTGGCAATTCCTGGTGGGAACTGGAGCTCAGGCCTGTGGGTCATTCGCTCCTCCAGGGCGTGGCTATCCCAGAGTGGGGACAGCGGGCACAGAGGGGGACAGGAAGACAGCAATGGCCCTACCTCCGCCTAAGGAGCCACAGAAGCACCCTGGTCCCTCTCTTTCTCCAGACCCCCTCACTGCACTTCTCTCAGTTTTCTCTCTTTCCCCAGAGTGGTTTGGCGGGGAGGTTGGCCAGCTCTGGCGCTTGTCTGCCCTGAGTTCGAGTCCCCCAGTGTACTTCAGTTAGGACTTCCCTCCTGGAGGCCCCCTCCTCCCTTAGGCTGTTTGAGGGAAAATGGACTCACGGTCAGAACCACCTGCAGGAGTCCCGGGAGGCCGCCCTCCCAGCCCTGCTGTGCGACCTTCCTAGATGAGAACCAAATCCTCTTACCTCTTCGCCTTTTGATCCTTTGGGTCCCGGCCGCCCCTGGGGTCCCGGATGCCCCTGCAAACCAAGGTGAGATGACGCAAGGCAGCCCCAGGGTTCACTCCCGGGGAGGGTGGCCAGTCTCCGCCTGGAGAGGGAGGGGTGGGGAGGGGTTTGGGGGTGCAGGCTCTGGGGGTGCCCCCAAGATCAGGGCAGAAGAAGCCAGAATGGACTGCCCCAAGCCCTCCCACAGGCAAGGTCCCTTTAAGCTTTAAAGGGCTCCGTTCTTTATTTCCCACAGCTCCACCCACTTCTGCAGGCTTGAAAGGGAAATGGGACAGGGGGCACCACTCACTGGTCGGCCCTGCTGACCCGGCTTTCCACGGAGGCCTGGCACACCCTCCTGTCCCTGGAAGCCAAGAAGAAACAGGTGAGGGGGCTCAGCCTGCAGGAGGGGTGAACAATGACCCCACGGGCGTGGATGAAGGAGAGGGGAGGTGCAGAGTTCATGGGGGCACAATGGCTTATCCTTGCTCCTGCTGGGAGAGCTGTTCCCAGCCGCAAAGAGGGAGACTGAGGTCCTCAGAGGACAAGGGCCTGTTCAGGCCACGCAGAGGAAGTCATCAACAGATACGAGGCGCACGCGGTCCCGTCCCGCTCCAGCCCTCCAACCTCTCTGTCCCCTGGCGTGTGAATGGTGCACTGGGACTCTTACAGGGGGTTGTTTCTGGCCTGGGGTACAGGAAGGGCTGCGTCCCAGGGAGGCTGCCCTCTCTACGACACCCCAATCCTGCAGCAGTAGGGGCTCTGATACTCACAGGGTATCCAGGGTCCCCCGGTTCCCCGCGGTCTCCTCGATCCCCCACAGGGCCCTGATGACAAGGACAACAGCACAACGTGGGCCACCCGTGCAGAGGGTGCTGGCCCCAGGTCCGGCTGGCCACACTGCACAGCTCCACCCAGTCCCGCCCGGGCTCAGCCTGCCACTCCCCATGCAGCAGGGGGCCAGGCTCCACCTTGGACCTGGAAGGCTCACAGGATGGAAGGGGACTTACCCGATCTCCAGGTGGCCCTGGGGGGCCCTCAGCCTTGCCGTCCTCGCCCTGCTCTCCCTGTGGACACAGAACCCGTCTTAGGACAAACCACCTGTCCCTGGGGCTGTGGAGACTCAGATGGAAAGCCTTCATCAGCAACGAAGGTCTCATTATGGCAGCAGGGCGGAGACTGAGGCCAGAGAGGGAGGGGTGGGCGTGGCGGAACCAGCGTCATCGTGGAGCGCAGGACGGTGGCACTCTTTGCCGTATCGTCACCGCTCAGCCACCCCAGGTGAGTCCCGTGGACAGCCGGGTGCACGGAGTCGGAGGGCTGAGCTCACACCGGCTGCTCCGGACCCGCCACCCACCTTCGCCATGTCCCTTCCTGTCTCTGAGCTCCTTTTCCCGGCCAGGGAGTAGGGGATGGCGTGAAGGGGATCACCAGCGATGCCCTTCGAGGAAAGGTGAGGATTCCCTGCCAGAGGGAGGGATGAGGGAAACCCAAGGGGACGCTCTGCACAGGGCCAGGTGCTCCGGTGGGCCTCCCCAGGCAGGCTCTCGTCTTAGCATCCCAGCCAGCGACTGGCCATTCGCTCCTGTGACTGTTCCCACTCCTGAGCTCTTCGGGGCATCATCCTTCCCCCTAGCTCGGCGCCTGAACATGCCAAGTCCTCCACAGATACTGTTGGATAGCAGGACCCTGGACGCCGGAAACCGTCTGGCTGACATCTGTGCTGTCCTACTTAGCCTGGCCTTCCCGGGTACCCACGCACTGGGCAGATGAGGCAGTCAAGGCTCAGGGAATCCTGGCGACCCACCCAGCTCTGGCTGGTAGGGCAGATTTGGTGTTAGGGTTCCATTCTCAGCAGCCACAGATGGCCCTGAGCGGAGGCCTTGGGGCACACCAGCACCTCAGCTAGGATCTGTGTTAACCCCTTCTGTGCCAGCCCTGGCAGACTGTGAGGATGCAGGAGAGGCTCTGGGTCCTGAGTGGCACTTCCTGCAGCTTCCCACGGAGTCCCCCTGACTGCAGATGTGCACTTCCCTAAGCAAGAGGCAGGGGCCGGCTGGACAGCAAGCCAGGCCAGCGTGACTCATCGACAGCGAGATTTAGTTAGTGGGGCGCTGATTTGGCAAAGAAAGGAGGGTTGGAGAGGCGGTGGGGTGGGGGGCAAGGATGCCGCAGTGGGTCGCCAGCCAGGAGCCAGCATTCCAGCCAAGCAGAGCATTGGAGCAGGGGGCAGGACAGGAAGGAGTGGCCCAGGGCTGTTGACGTGGGTGGGGCCAGTTGGGTGCTGCCTTAGGGTGTGACCCAGGGCCGATGCCTGGGACCTCCTGGCCCTTCCCCTGCATGGCGGTGCAGGGCCCAGTGATCCCCCAGGTGCAGCGCCGTGGAGTTGAGGAAGATGTGCCTTCCCTCTGCCTCAGCGGCTCCTTCCTCGGCCATGAAGTGCCAGGCTTCCCACTTTCCAGCCTCAGCCCACTCCTTGCTCAGGCTCTTCTCACTCTCAGGCTCTTCTCACTCACTCACGGGCAAGGCTTCAGCCCGAGTTCATGCAGGTGACGGAATCGCACTGTTCGGTCATGACGCGATTGACGTCACTTCTCCCGCTTGACTGTAAGTCCCTCGAAGGCAGGAATCACGAATGATTTTGTTCCAGGGCTAGGCTTGGTGATGGCGTCCTACACCCAGTGTTGAGTGGGTGCTGATGGCTCGTGCCTGCTACAGCAACACTGGCGGCATGAGCGGCCACGGGCTTCTTGTGCTCCCCCCGGCACAGGTACCCTGTGCTCACTCCTCCTGGCCCAAAGCCGACCTTGGCCCCAGATACTAGGGAGCAGTTGCTTCCCCAAGATGAAACACTCACCTTTTTTTTTTTTTTTTTTTTTTGGGGAGTTTTTTTTGTTTTTTTTTTTGTTTTTTTTTTCCCTATAGGCAACG